ACAAAACATTAAAATCATAAATATATAAAACATCAAAATTTAAAAACATTACTAAAAAAGAGGAAAAGGAGGTTCCAAGAAGATGAAGAATCTGGGACTGAAGACAGCAGGCCTCTATGGGGGCCAATATAAATTATATTGTTATTACTCTGTTGCATGCCACCCAGATTGGAGCAGGCTACAAAAACTATAAATGAATGAATAAACCATCCACAATGTTTCTGATGGAATTTAGCTTTCCATGCATTGGCTTTTTACATGTATAACCCAACTGACCTCTAGGCCCAATAGTTAGCAGAAGGGCTATCTATATGCGCGCACACACACGTGCACACATGCTCATACATACATATCTACTACAATGGTTGGGGGTGTTAGGAGTTGTAGTTTATCTACAGCCAGTAGCATTAGGTTCTCCACATCAGTTTTTAAAAAGTGGCCACTTTATAATGAAGAATTTATTAGCATATGGACATGCATCAAAGGGAAAAACAACTGAAATGCTCCACAGATAGTTCAAAGTCTATTTCCCCCACATCAGATTTCTAAAGATGCAGGCAACCAAGATCTCAATAGTTCTATAATTTTGTTTGAATCTCATTTGCACATTATCTGTTGTACTTTGCAAATATGCCTCAATTACCTTTTCTTTAGAAAGAAGAAATTCTGTTCCCCTTTTCTGGTTGAGTTTCATTCCCATGATATTCCCTTCATAATTTCATTAAAAACCAGGGCCAGGGTGACAGGTATCACCAGTTTAGCAATCTATCTTTTCTCTAACCTCCCTCCTATATACTGTAGGTCATCTCTGATGTTCAACACTACTGTCAGACATCAGCTTGAGACCTCTCCCTTTCCTCTTTCCATGCTGTTACGAACTTTGAAAAGGTTTTCTCAAACCTTCTAGGTTTAATGAAATGTTTCAGTATCAGTTTGTCTACTAGCAACCTGCGTATTATAAAAAGTCACAGGCTGCCTAGTGCTCTCAGCACTTGCCGTATATAGGATAGATAAGATGTCTTTCAAAAAAAGGTTTGCCTGCCCCAATAAGAATTTAAATCACCCCTTAAAAAGAACTTTTCCTTTTATATTCTCATTCTCTCTCTTTCTTCAGGAAGTGAATTTTACCTTGTTTAAGTATATTCAGAATTTCCATGGTGTAGTAGAAATAATGTTGTATTTCTTCTGTTTTAATCAGCCTGGTTTTGTACACTTAAGAGACATAGAAAAGTTATTAGCAAAGAGGACTGAAGTTTATCCCTGTAAAAGCTCAGATGCTCAGCAAGTTGTAAGACTTTCAGAACAATCTGCTCCCCACTTTTGTAGGAATAAGTTCCTCTTACACTCAGTTTTGTTTGGTTTACATAAAATTTATGACAACTTCAGCTGACAATAAGAATATAGTATTGTGTTCAAATGTGTCAATCAACTGAAAGAAAATTGATCCAAGGACTGAATACAACCTCTAGGTGGGCTACAATTTCTCTTGATTGAAATGTCTTGTACTTTCTGAGATACAATTGATGAGCAAATCTACCACTTTCAATGTTCCAGAAAACCAGTGTTCTATGGACACTGGTCTGTTAATGGACTTAGGACCTGTATAACGGTTGTACTGAAGGCAATTAAAAATAGCTGAGTCAATTGATGCCTCCATCAGTTGAGAGTTAGGGAGATAAAGAATAGCAGCTGCTGGAGTATGTAGACTACCAGGCAAAGAGCAGCAGAAGATCTGGAAGAAAAGTACACGGGAATAGAAAGAACAAATTTTGAGGAAATAAAAGCTGAAATCATTGACTTCAGAAGGATATTATATGGCTTAGAGATGGAAAAGCTGGGACAGAATCCTGAAGGTTCTATCTCCTCTGGGCTAGTTTTCTCTTTTTTGCAAAGACTCCTGTTGAGAAGCTGGACTTCATATGGGTGGTTTAATGTGCATGGTCCTCTTAACATGAGTTGGGGCATGTTGAGGCACATTGTCTGACTAACAGGGCAAGGAAGCTTTGCAGTAACACTAAACATCTCACCTGGCTGGGCATGGGCATGGAGAAGGGATGCAGGATGAAGCAGGAGAGAGCTCTCCCAATGCCTTTGCTTGGTGCATCAGGCAGCTGCCTCCTGTCTCCTGTTACTTTCACCTTCCATGCCTGTGAGTGCAAAGGAGGGACACAGATGAAGTGGGAAAGAGCAAATAATAATCAAGTGGCTGTATCTGGGACTAGGGCTGCAAGAGAATGGCAGCACTTGCAGGGAATGGATGAGGCTGGCAACACTGAGAAGTCGTCTGTGGCGTCAGCAAAAAGGCACTGCTCCACCTCATCCAAAGTAATAAATTTAGCAGAAAGTTCAGCCAGACTAAACGCTTTGTTGGCAGAAGCAATGGAAAACCTGTAACACCCCCTCTTGGGATAGAACCAGCAACACACAGCTGGCAGAACCTCTTTCCCAATATAAATCAGCTAGCAGTGCACCCAGGACTAGGGTTCTCTGAGGAGAGCGAGCATTGGTCCTTATTTTTAAACACCATCTAGTGCACTTCCAAAAGGAATCCATGTAAGACCTGGCAAGAGCTTTGGAAAGCACCAGCCAGCAATTATAGACAGCTGCCTGTGCTAAAGACAGGTACCTGGCCTCTCCTGCTGCCCATGGACCAGCGGGGAGAAGGCATCCTTGCAGCTGCCTAAAGTGGGCAATCTATATGGAAAACTTTAATTCTTGGGTTCTGTGTATTGGAAATACATTTTTTGTAGCTAAAAAGGCTTGTTCAGAGACTGAATCCCACTGTTTTCTATGGCCAAACTATTTATTTATTCAATTTGTATGTGGCTGAATCCAAACAGCTTACAGCTGTCCGTAATACGGTTAAAATACAATGAAATCAGTAAAATATAAAAGTAAGCATCAACTAATAAACAGTAATATAGAGCCAGTTTGGTGTAGTGGTTAAGGCACCAGGCTAGAAACCAGGAGACCCTGAGTTCTAGTCCTGCCTTAGGCACAAAGCCAGCTAGGGACCTTGGGGTAATCACCCTCTTTCGGCCCTGGGAAGAAGCAGGCAAGGGAAAACCACTTCCGAAATCTTGCCAAGAAAACTGCAGGGATTCGTTTACATACTTGCCAATATGATAGTATAACATCCAGAATAACATAACATCCAAAACCTTTTCTGAACTCAGAATAGACAGGGAGTTCTGGATCTTGTTTGGTGTGGGTAGTGATGGTAGAATATAGCAGCATCCATTTTCCTCAGAAGCCTAACTACTACCATATATACTCATTACACACTGCGGGGCTTATTTTTAAGCAACACGAATAACAGAATTCTGCAGTGCTGCTGGGATCCCCACTGTTAGACAGGCTGAATATCTCACCTTATGTTGGCACTTAAGTGTTCTTTATGGAGAACTTAAATGTTGTTGCAAATTTAATTTCTGAATGGCTAGGTTGATGTGATTCGTTTAAGTGCCACATATCCCAGCATCTATGATATAATAATCACGGAAACAAGTTTCCAATGATGAGTTTAGGTAATAATGGTTTACCATGTGACTTTAAGAGGCAATCGTAAGAGACAATATCGTAAATATTGTCAACCGTTCACAATGCAAATGCTTCAGTTGGACTGGCTAAACAAACAGCTTTCCTAACTTACATGATTCAGCAGTCTGCTATACTTACCATATCCCACTTCAAGGCTACAGGCTCTAACAATTCGTTCCCGTATGCTAATAGATCTCTTCTCCACATTCTGCAAATCACAGTTTTCTTTGGAACAGAAGAAGATAGAATGAGGGCATAGAATCTCTTTGTAGAATTCCCTCATTGTTTCTGGGAGTACTATTGACTGAATTTGCTGGTCTGGTAATTGGGATAGTTAAGATATGGATCCCAATTCCCTTCAAGTGCTAAAATATTGCCTTCTGATAATACAAAATATAACAGAATATCCATCCCACCAAAGCCAAGGCAAGTGTTGACAAGGCAAAATCTGATGGTTCAGTGTTGGAGGATGGTAGACTCTAATCTTTGCTGTTTTCTGCCCTCAAATGTGCTCACTACATATTTGTTTGGATCAGATCACTCTGGTTCCTATGAAAGCCAGATGGCTGATCTGGTACCTGCCATGCTGATTACACAGGCACAAAGTCTCTGATCCTTCTGGTTGCTAGTATATGAATCAGAATAGGAGATCCAATTTGGATTCAAAGGAATACTGATACTGAATTCAGTGGTTTTCTTTCTTTCCCCATTCACTTATTTCTAAGTTTTCTAAACACAGGAACAATCTTAACAGTATCCCATTACTGCAGTCTTCTCTTCGTATTAACAGGTTTGTCTCAACCCGTGTTTGTGCCTAACTAAGGACAAGTAATTTGTTTTAAAAATAACTAATAAGTGGTTCTACACAATTGTAATGCATACCGGTACTATCTTATTTAACTTTCCCACTATGGTAAGAGAAGGAATTATACACGATAACAACCAGATTGGAATAGTTAAATAGTAGTAGTAGTAATAGTAATAATAATAATAATATAAAAATGCCAAATCCAGTCTAAATGTCTGGCTGACTTTGCGATCAACCATATTTATATGCTGCCCAACTCCCAGCAATGAGTGATTTCCAATATAATTAAAAGAATAAAACAGTGCAGCCAGGTTCTCAGAATTGTACTTATATCCAGGTGAACATTTGATGCTTTGTTCAAGTTAGGCAATGTTCAGATGTTGAAAGGTTACCAAAGGTTACAGATATCTCCTTGATTAAGCTCAGCAGAACTAGGGACTGGAGATTCCGCAATGCAGTACAGTACAAGAATCTCTGCCTTAATTCCCTCCTAATCTGATTGTGGATAAATAAAAGCTCCACCTCAACTTACCTTCCATGCACTGGCAAACACTATTGTGGCATACTTTATTGAGGAGGCCATCTGCATAAGATGTGTGGTAGAACATGATACAGTAGTGATCTAAAGGAGGAATGAAAAGACATGTCCTGATTCAAACTGACAAGCCTGTGTGAATGTTCAGGAAGACTGCTGCCCTGGAGTTTTTACCTGCAGCTGTGAATTCTTATTACTTCTTTTTCATTGTTATTTATAGACAACACCCTGTGTTGTGAAGTTTTAATTCTTGGTTAGAATTTTATTTAGGATGGTGGATTTATATTGTGAACTGGGATATAAATACAATGCATGCATGAATCAATAAATCAATGAATGAATCAATGAATGAATCAATGATTTATTTATCCAATTTATATCCAACCTTTCCATTCATTAAATGTTCAAGGCAGCTAACAGTTTTCAAACTACAGAAATATAAGAAAATACAAGAACCTTCAAATTACGTATTAACAATATCAAAATGTCAAGCCCTGATGATTAAAATGACCAGTCTTTCTTGCTCTTCTGAAGACAGAGAAAATGAAGGCCAGACACAAAGCCCAAAGGAACACATTCCGTCATTTGATGCAGGAGAAAGCTCAATCCCATGTGCCCAATAAATGGCAATCTTCAAATGGATTCTCCTGCAGAATGTAATGTCCTGACAAGTTCATAACAGGAGATACCATCCTGTAGGGTGTTGGAGCCTGTGCAATTATTTGATTTGTACCAAATAAAACCTCCATGTGATTACAAGAGTAGCTCACACAGAGCACATTGCAACAGACAAGCTGCAATGTCATCTACGTATAACTATTTCCAAAACTTATCTGCTCAGGGAAGGATGAAAGAGATCTCCCAGGCTAAGAACCTAACTTAACACCACTTCTATTTTATTTGAATTTCAGTTTAGCTTTTTTAGACCAGCTACACTAAAGCTACTTATAGCTAAAGTATGTGCCCAGCTCTTACAGTGGGGCAAAAAAGTATATAGTCAGCCACCAATTATGCAAGTTCTCCCACTTAAAAAGATGAGAGAGGCCTGTAATTT